GCGGTTGTGTTCAATTTGGTTGTGTAGGAGTTATGCACTCATTTTACAAATATTTCATAACTATAATACATATTTTAACATTACTTTAATGTTACTTAAGTACCATTAGTTATAAAAAATCATTTAACATTTTCAATTCTTAACAAGGAAAACACAATTAAAAACTAAGTTGTTGTTCAAGTTTTCATATTTGTATGATATTTCATGTTTTCATAATAAGTTATGTTCATTAATCTAGAGTTTAGAATAGAATATATAATTTAATGTAATTTCTTAATATATGAACTGGGTATTTTCAAAATGATAAATATAACTCAAAATAAATCAAACACATTTATACAATAAACATTAAAATTTTTATTATTCTTATGAAACTTATATTTTTAGTAATACTAAAATTAAAAAATTATTTTCAAATATTTAATACAACATATTGAATCAAATCACAATTAATTCTTCAAAACATAATTACAAACAAATAATGAAACAAAACATCTTTAATCGTTTGATTCTTAACATTAAATTGCATTTTTGTAAAAACTTCTAAATTTCATGAATTTGTATCATGATAAACTTTTATTTGTTAAAAGTTATAACTTATAAGTGTAATAATTTATAAGTATAAATCTAAAGTGAAATCTATTAGAGAAAAGAGCATACTGTCCAAATTAGGAAATACCTACTACTAGTTGTCATTATTTATAACAATAATTGCAAACGTTTACAAAATGAGTTCATATATTATAACAAGTGATGACCAAAAGTAAGTGAAGAGTCCATTGAATGAAAGGCAAGACTGAACCAAACACTCAATGAATGTGTGTTTGCATTGAATTCAATGAATTCATTTGAGCACTGAGTGTGACGTCAACACAACATATGATAAACAAAGCATTGAATCCGTGTTTCACTGTTTGTTGTCCTCTAAGGCTCTGACGTCCGCACAAACATTGGCTGCAATCACACATCACATCCAACACATCCATCTGATCCATGAGCTGAACACGTGTTGAGATGCGAAGAGTGAGTCCAAACCGTTACCCGAGTGTGGGGACAGCCGTTTTTGAGTCATCCAGTCATCACTCATTACTTCTGAACGGATTGAATGAATTGCGATCCAATGGACAACTCTTTGACGTGACTTTGATCGCCGGCGGAACCGATGGCAACAAATTCTCGGCCCATCGGGTGGTGCTGTCCGCCTGTTCCGACTACTTCAGGTACACCACTCCCAATCACCACCACTTCTCACGTCTAACCAATTGTCTTATTATACGAACCATTCATTAGAGCCATGTTTACGGATCAGGTGTTTATGGAGACCCAACAGAAGGAGATTGTTCTCAATGGAGTCACCAATGAAGGTATGCGGAACTGGAGGAATAATGAGATGAATTGAATGGTTGTTGTGGTGACAGGTCTTCACTATATCCTTGAGTTCGCGTATACCTCGCGATTGGCCCTCAACTTGTCTAACATTCAGGACGTGTTGTCGACCGCATCTCATGTCCAGATGCAGGACGTGGTTCAGGCCTGCAGTGACTATTTGGAGGAACAGATAATTGTCGACAATTGTCGAGATTTGGCCACAATCGCAGACACCTACTCTTTGTGGCAGTTATCCAAAAGAGTTTATCACTTCATTTGTTCCAATCTGTTGTCATTCTCGCGAACCAATGAATTACAGCGACTCACTGCCCATCAATTGACGCGAATTCTTGACTGCGATT